TCTTTGTTTTTTTGATTATATATTCTTTATTACAACGGCATTTCTAATATTGGATGCACCTTTAGAATCAAACTAGACTAAATGGTACGAGTCTTTGAATAGATTCTAGCTGTATGGTTTCAGACTAACACTGCTGTCAGACAGTTAATTTGGTAATTTGCTAATTTTTATTTGTTTTTTATTTTTCAGTAAATATTACTATTCGTCTCTTACACTGTTATACCGCCTTCCTCATCTAAGATTTGTTCGTTGCGCTTTTCTGTTAAATGAATGTTTCAAGAAACCAACTTCAAAATTTTTAACAAATTTTTGTTCATTCGGTAATTTAGTAATAAGACTGGTTGTTTTATGTTTCTTACATTTTTCTTCAAATTTTATTTAGTGCTATTAATGAGAACAGTTTAAGAAGTGATTTAGATGAAAAATTCAGTAAAATAATATTTGAAAATAAATTTCTTTCTTTCTGGATTTGTTTGAAATTTGAAGTATGTTGATTTCATAGAAAAAAAAAAGCTATTTGGCTAATTTTTGAATCTTCTGCAACTAGTTTGTCTATTAGTATGCTTATTTGTTCCAGTTTATTTTATTTCAGAGAAAATTTAAAAAATTTGATGCTGAAATTCTAATGTATTTGTAAAATTTTCGTAACTTTTTGTTTCTGTTGTTTTAATCGGTGATAATACTTAACCGTTTAGTAGTTACTAAAATAATTAGATTTTAATTGTACTCTATGTTACTGTTGTTTCCAGGTACAAAAGATAAATTAAAAATAAAATTCAAGAAAAATCATTTTTTTTTTTTTGCCAGCAAAATTCAGACAGATTGAAAAAAAATATTTTTACAGACCACATTTTTAAGAGGCAATTAATAAAACGGCTATTAGGTTTAAGTAATTTTAAAATTACTATATCTATTTCTACGGTATTTGCTTTTTTTTTTTTGTTTGGTTTTCCAGTAACCAACTATGGATGATTCATTAATGTTGAGAAAGCATCTTTGTTTTCGGTTCCGTTCATATTTGGATATTAGTAACAGTTTTGGTAAACATCAAAAAATGGTTGAGTTTCCAGTTTTTGTTTTCGCTGAACAAGACTTGTTCCCCATCATCAACTTTATATTTTATCTGCTGTTATCAAAAAATGCTGGTGAACAACAGTAGAGAATATAGTTGATAGGTGGATGCGTTTGGAGGAAGAAATTTTGATACTATCATTATTGGGAAAATAAGTTTTAAATGT